AACAACTACTAGAAATTACATTATTAATTTTTCCATTGTTAACAATCTAATATAAAGTTATAAACGTTTATGCGTTGTATCATTAACGATATACAAAATTATTATTTATATTTCTTAATAATTTTGATTACTTAAGGAAACATTAATGACGATATGTCACCATTTTTTATGAAATCATAGAATGTTAACAATTATATGCAATTACATTATTAACTTTTTTGGGATAATTTTTAACAATGTAACATAACATTGTCATCATTTATACAAGTATCATTAACAATATACAACATAATTACTAACGTTTTCTAAATAATTTAAGGTTATTTATGAAATCATTGTAATCTATAAATTGTCATTTTTTAACGTAAAACATAGAATGTTAACAACAACAAATATGAACGCAAACATGATATTTGTACCTATCGCAAACTACCGATTAAGAATGACTTTGAGGCAAGTTCCATGGCTAGTCGGGTCTCGATTGGGTAATTTCTCAAATTCTCATTTTTTAAAAGGAAAACATTAGAAACATCTGTTTTTCATTAAAAATTGAGGTTCTCACATATTTACAACTTTATGATAGCTAAAATATGAGGTAATAAAATTCTTCATTCCTGGGAAGAGGAAGAAGCAGATAGAGCAAAGGCCTCCTCTTTCCGTCCGCTCTTCCCGAAGTGAGCGCGTCAGTACGTCACTGATTATGCCATCGATTCAAAGGAAGGACGGGACACACGTGCTACAATGGCCTGGACAAAGGGTCGCCAGGTCTCCAAAAACCCTCGTATTCTGCTCCTTCCTGAGCCCACATCTCCATGTCCTATCGATGCTTATCTAAGTAAAATGATATGTAATTTGAGTATAATTACATGTAATTTTGGTAAAAATAGGTCGAGAATGGGGCAAGTCATGGCAGATCAGGTTGAGAAGATAATGCAGCGACCAACGAAGCGATAATGCAAAAATAGGTCAGGTTGAAATTGTTATCCCTGCTGTCAATGAGCATATATGTGTAAATGGAACGACCAATGAAGTTGTAATGCTGAAACACCCAAACGCGTGAAGGGAAATTGAACACTGAACCCGTCAATTTGTGCAATATGTTCTGATCGTTGAAGTGTAGAACAAATGGAGAGTGTAAAGGGTTATTTTGTGGTTATTTTCATGTAGTCACTGGAAGACGGAGACAGTTGGAGTCGCAGTCACTCAAAGAAGGGGACAGTCAGGGTTGGGGTCATGTTTGCTAATGATGGAGACCTCACAATTAATGTTGAGACTCGCAATATCAACAAATATCTATTATGTGGAACATTGTCAAACTGGTTTATGCATGTGTGTCGGTTTCGCAAATGAAATGGTTTGACTGTGGTATGACTAGTATGTATGCCGATTTATGTCGGTTAACAAAAAAATATGTATAGAAAATTGATTGGAAACAGAAGCGCTGGCAAGGTTGAAAATTTTATAAAACATCAAGGGCATATTTGTATTTGGCCATCACTATATAAACCTAAGAATACCCACATCCTAACCCTAGGCTCCCCTTCTCTACTCCTCTCTTCTCCCTCTCATTTTCTCCCCTGAACACTTCTGATGTAATGCAATAATGTTACCAAGAAGGAGTTATTTTTCAAATCGAGACCGCCATTGAAACTAGGAAGGAGCTAGCTTTGAATTGTGGAAGAAAAAGAGCACAACAAGAGAGCGTGAGGGAGTGAGAGTCCTCCTCTCCTTCCTTTATCTATAGATAATCTTCCCAAATCTTCACTTTTTTGGATTTATTGGTTGGTTCTAGTTCTTTTTTTTATCTTCTTTCACTTCTTATGGACGGATCTCAGCGCTAATTGCTGGCGACGGAGGCTAGGATTCAAAGTACCTATGGTCCCATCCCCCGGTTCATTGGGGATTTTTCTCTTAAATACACACGTTCTTAAAAAAATTCCCAAAATATATACGTTATAATTTTTCCCCCAATCTACACATGTTTGATCTTTACTGCAGCTGTTAAGGGCGGTGAAGACATTCACCGTTGTAGTGTAAAGCGATGAAACAATCACTGCTATTGAGAGGAGCGGTGAACATCTTCTGAAGACTTCACTGTTGTCATCTGATACAATGAACCATCACCGCTAGGCTAGAACGCGGTGAACTACTCACCGTTGTACATAACCGTGGTGAATATCGCCACATTTTTCAGACTCAGTAGCTGAAATTCTAGTTGACAACAACCTAGCCTTCATCGTTGTAGACAACCGCGGTGAAGGCAGGCTGTCTGTCAAATAAATAAGTTTTTCTCCCCACCTACGTACCTGTTGAACCAAATTAATCCCCCATTCTGCCAAACCCCTCCCTCATTACAGGAACTCCAATTTTAGGTATGTTTTAATTCGTTATTCTCTAGATTGTTGATATATTAGTAGTTAGATGTTTGTATAGAACGAATTACTGTTAGGAGCAAGTATGTTTTGGTTTTTCGTCAAAAAAAGTATGTTTTGGTATAGATCTTCTGATTAATTATGGTAGATGGATGTTAGTTAGTCATGGTCTTAGATTAATTTGTTTAGAATACTCATGTTATAGTAATGTTAATATGGCTACATGTTTCGGTTAGTTAATTGCGAATGTTTATGTTTTTGGATTCTATTATTTCCGTAGCCCTAAATTATGGTATGCATTATGTTTGTGTAGCCCTAAGTACTAATTATACTACATGTTTCGATTAAATTGCAGACATAGGTAAATTCAAAAAGTTCCAGCTTCTTATTCAGTGGAATTATAGGGTGACAAACTCCGACATTGGGATCGATTATGAAGATGGTGAATCCAGTATGTTGAAAATTGAGTCCAGATTCACGTGGCAAGAACTTCCCGACATTTGTCCGGATTCAGGATGGTCTTGCAGGAGGGTACAATGGGGTGGTAGTTCAAGCAACTACGGAGGAGGTAGTTCTGCAGGAGGGGTGCCATAGAAAGAATACTCGCAATGTGCTTAGCCTGCCCCATTCGTTGAGCCCGAAGGCGTTCAATGGCCTGCTAGGCGGCCAGAGTAGGTTGACATTGAGAACACCATTCGATCCGAGAGTACTTCGCATGAGCGAGAAGACGATGTTGGTGTGATCCTCCTGGCCCGAGCTATCCATTAATCTCCAGCAACGATAAAAGTGAGAAAGATTTGAGATCACTGAGTGAGGAGGAAGATACGGACGACGATGTGATGTTCCATGAGCCACCTACGCCATACTAGACAGAGGTTCCATCTCAATTTTTATATGGTCAGAATTATGCGTCCGACTTTCTCCCTATACCCGTGTATAATCCGCCGACCAATTTGGAGGTGGGTATGGCGTTCACTTTGAAGGACGTTGTTCAAGATGCTTTTAACGAAGAAGCCATGCGGCGGAATTTCGAGTGGAGGGTAAAATATTATGATGGCAAACAACTACATGTCATATGCAAGAATGCTGGAGAGGGTTGTATGCAGCAACTACGGGCTGCAAATATGAAGAGAAAGGGTGCTTCGGTAATTTGTACAATAGAGAACAACCACAGCTGCTCCTCCTCCATACTTTTAGGATCACCGTCAACTTAAAGCAAATAAAGTGGGGAGAACCATTAAGCACTTGATCGAGGCACAACCAGATATCAAGATCAAAGATATCATGGCCAAGGTGAAGGATCGACATTCCTACACGATTAGGTACAAGAAGGCATGAAATGGAAAGCAAAAGGTCATGGCTGAGGTGTATGGTGATTGGGACGACTCATACGATTTACTCCCTAGACTAATGGACGCAATATAGGAGTCAAACCAGTGACTGTTTTCATGTCATGGTACAACAATATACAAACTGAAGATCAAGTTCAAGTACATAATGAGTTAATGTATCACTATTTATTTTGGGCATTCAAGCCATGCATTGGCCAGTTTGATTTATGCATTCTAGTGATCTATGTATATTGCGGACTAATTAATGCTCTACTAGTTCATTTTGTTACTATATAATATTTTACTAATTAACAAGTTTTTTAGTAGGTAGATGGAACTTTCATTACTGGGAAGTACAGAGGCATTCTTCTTATTGTGATCTATCTTGAGACAACATGAATATTAAACTAAAACACAGAACATGGATAGTAAACTAAAACATAAAATATGGATAGTTCAATGAAAAACACACGACATGGATAGTTCAATGAAAAACACATGACATAACTAAGCAAAGATAACATGGATAGTTCACTGGTCTCCTTCATTTTGTCCCCCCTTCTCGCCCTCCTCCTCTGCCTCCACGATGTCCTCGAACCCTTTTTCCTCCTTGTCCGCCTCCTCCTTCTTGCAGAACCGCTCGCGGATTCCTCTTAAACCGAGCCGCCACCGGAGTAACCATAGGTGGTGGAGGTGGAGGTGGTTGAGATGGACCAGTAGAGTGGTAGTAGCTGAGCTCGATGCATGAGGCTGATGTTGGGGGGGCTTATACACAGAAATCTGGTGTTGATGGTGGAATTGTGGGGAAACATGTTTGTCCCCTTCCGGATACGGGGCGTAGCTCAACGAGCCTACAATGCCCTCCGTTGCAGTTGTCCACTCATATGCAAATGGTTCAAGAAGTTCTGCTTGTTGAGTCAGACGAAGCTCTTCGTGTTTGGCTGAGGTTTTCGTTTTCTCCTCCGTGGGGCTCAAATTGGGGTACAATGCACTCACCATCACGGAAGGACGGACAGGCCGGAGTAGGCAGTGGAGGGTATACTATGACATCCCTCCTTTGCTCTCGAGTACAACTCAGTATATTGTTGAAAATCCTTCACAAAAAAGATGTCTTCTACTAATCCATGGTGGGTGCACTCTCAACGGTGTGTTTGGCATGTTCCAAACCGTCAACCTAATTAATTGAAGTAATAAAAAATGAAATAAAGCTAAGCACGTAATAAATTTTAGGATCTACTCTAAGCACAAAAGAATAAGACAAAGAGAGAGACAGAGACAGAGACTTGGGATCACTTACCAACGCACCCATCACAACACCTTGCTTTGACACCCATCTAAGCGTGAACTTCCGATACCACTGCATGTACCCCTCGTCACCGGCATCCCTTGGACCACACAAGTCGCTCTATTCTCCCAAATGCTGATGTAGAACTGATGCTTGCGGATACAATCAAAACTTGGTGGCGTAGGTCGATGCCATGGAGCTCCTTGAAGGCTTGAGGCGGGGATGCTGGAATTTGTTGCTCCAAATCAATATCGCCTCCAGGATCAATCCGGCAGGTGCCACTCCACGATGTGCCAACAGATGAAGGCCACCCTTGCACAACCTCGTCTCGTGATCCTCGGGGTGTCTAAGACGATGCAGTTCGACCACTTCATATGGATATGGGTCACATGTCACCTACACTCATTAATAATTTTCAATTAGCACCAATTACATCCACTCTATTTTAGAAAGTTAAAATATTGAATTGCCATGTTTACCTGGTTCCACCAACGCTTATCAAACTCAGCATTATAAAATAGTAAAGAGTGCTCAAGTTGGTGGTCGTTTGTATTTGCTCTCATCCTTGTAAATAAAAGTACGCATATAAGAATTTTTTAAAGCTTGGAAGCTAAGCATGTAAGAATTTATTAAGCATTTAATCAATTTAAGTAATAAATTTAAATTATGAAATTGCATATTTGGAATAAATATAAATTAAATAAAGTTAAGCATGTAATAAATTTTAGGATGTAATCAATCTAATCATGTAATATAAAATGCATACTAAGCATGTAATAAATTTTAGCTTGTAATCAATCTAAGTAAATAAATTTAAATTAATTAGTTTACAAAGTTGAAAGTAAATTAAACTTACTTGACACCATAGGGTGCATTTGCCACAACTCGTATCTCAGCATCTTGCGCCCAGAATTCCCGTGGGTCTCTAGGTGCGAACATAAGAAGATGCTCCCATGCCAAGAGCTGGAGGATGAACATCACACCACCAGCTTGTTTCGCTCCCACCTTCGAGCATGTACATAGCTCCCTATATACCCCAGCTAACAGAGACGACCCCCAACTCTTTCTCGCGATCGTGTCCCGGTCATTGAGGAGCAATGACAACCACATGTCATGTATCCACCTAATTGCCTTGTCGAGAAACAGAAATACATTGACCAAGCAAATGAGGTAGACGCGTGCATACCGCTCCACTTGATCTTCGGGGGTGTGCGCGTCGATCTGCACCTCATGTTGGATGTGATCAACAAGTTACGTGATCGATATTTCCCCAACATTCAACGGTGGATGCTCGCGTCCTTGGACTTCAGTCTGGGTCGACATGTTAAAGCCCAAACGATCGAGAATCAGCGGCCCCCGGCCTTCTTCGGGTTTTCTCGAGTGGCCACTGATGGCCTCTCCTATGCCCGACAGCCCGGTGAGGATGGCAACGTCTCTGAGGGTGATCGTCATTTCCACCTTGAAAAATTGGAAGGTATGTAGTTCGGGGCGTCATCGCTCTGCCATTATCTCAGCAGATCGTTTTCGATCTCAATCCACATGAAGTGCCTCACCATATCCAAACCCGTCCTCTCTTGTGAGAACTCTTGAAGTTAAACGTGCTCAATGTGGAGTACAACAAGGATGGGTGACCTTATGGGAAGTCATTTTGAATTGCACCCCAGGTCGAAAATCGTGAGAGTCGAGGCCCAAAGCGGACAATATCTTTGTCGGGAAAATGTTCGAGTATCAGAGCCTCTACGCGTCCCTCTTGAACAGTGGTGGGGCAAACCTCAACGAGGGCGTTGAGTCCCCAGGGGGAGGGGTATGTAACACCTTAGGCGAATCTCACATCGGCAAAGCACGGGAGAGATCCATGGTTCATAAGTAAGAAACCGACCTTAACTGACAAAACACATTTTGGGATGAAATGGAAACATGTTCAATGTGGAGTACAACAAGGATGGGTGACCTAATAGGAAGTCACCTTGAATTGCACCCCAAGTAGAAAATAGTGAGGGTCGAGACCCAAAGCGGACAATATCTTCGTCGGGAAAAGGTTCGGGATGTTATAGGAAGAAGTGGTTCTTAAAAAATAGCAAAAAACATCAAGTTGTTAGTCTATGGAAAACAAAATTAAAACTTTTAAAATACTGAAATAATTAACAAATTTATACTGTATCTACCAGGGAGCGATGAGTTGTTTGCTCGATTAGATACTTTGCATCCCTTGACCCATGATCGATATACAATCGAGCATCGTATATATGGGCACCCATCTATAAAAAAGTTAATAATTGACTAATATACAAAACAATAAATCACCAAATCAAAATCAAGTTGATACCCTTTTAGCCTCTTCGTCCAATTTTTAGCGACAGACGGAGAGAGGTTCGGCGGGTTTTTAGAGCAGAGGGTTGTACAAAATAACTCTAAGAATTTTTTCTAATGTGGAAGATCGGGTTTATAACGAAACTAGAGTGGAGGAATGGAGGGAGAAAGAAGAATTTTGTGGTGGTGTGGTTGAAAATTGGGGGGGGGGGGGGGGGGGGGAGACAGATTTATAGAAAATTCCAGGAGGCTCTTCACCACGATCAACAAAAGCACTGAAGGTCTTGTTGCCCACGTTAGCGATCCACGGCGGGGGCGAGACTTCACTGCGACCGTCGGATGTGGTGAAGCGAGGATTTAAGTTTTCCTCCCAAATCCGACGCTTCACCGCGTTCCACGTACACGGTGAGCTGCTCCCCTTCACCATGTTCTTGAAGCGCAGTGACCACCCCATTGTCAACGTCAGTGATCCGCATCAGGGCGAGGCTTCACTGTGGCCATCGGATCCGACGCTTCACCGCAACCCACGACAGCGGTGACGACTTCACTGCTTTAGAGGAAGACCGTGATATTTTCACTGTTGCATAGTAAAGCGGTGAAGATGAAACATTAGTAGATTGAACATTTTTTAATAATGTACATATTTTGGAAAATTTTTTAAGAATGTGTGTATTTAGGGGAAAAAACCGTTCATTCGAGTGTCGAAAAATTCCGAATGTTGCCGAGTGACTTGCCTCTTCAAGACGTGTCGCCGAGTGACTTGCCTCTTCGAGACGTGTCGCCGATCTATTCATCGCCAGGAGAAAGTGAACATGCAGAGGAAAGGAGTTGGATGCTAAACGAAGGAGCAGAACTGGGGTGAACAACAACCTAGTCAAACCCAAATCCTAAGTTTTTTTAACAAATCTGTGTATGTGAAAAACAAAAAATTGAAAAACAAACGTAAAAAGTAAGAGACCAGAGATTAGATTTTCGGTTGGACCATTGGCATTCTCGAAATTGACCGATTTTGACTGAAATTGAGTGGTTTTGACCGTAGCTTCATTCTAGCGGTATTTTAGTTAGTTTCATAACCGCCACCGATTGAACCCAAACTAATTGGCCGGCATACCATTGACATGACAACCATGAATTCTGCCTCACATCCTATTCCAACATTTCCAATACCTCTGTCTCTTTTCGTCCCAAACTTCAAAAGGAGTAAATGTCACATTTGGTCACTGAGATTACTAAATCATGTCATGTTTAGTTACTAGAAAAAATTAATATCAATTTCGATCACTTGAATTACTGAAATATGTCAGATTTAGTCACTCTCCCGTTAGTTTAACGGAGTTTGACGGAGACTATCGAAGAGTGACTAAATGTGACATATTTCAGTAATTCGAGTGACATTCATAAAAAAAAATCGAGTGACCGGAGTTGGACGGAGGCTAACAGGAGAGTGACTAAATATTACCTGTTTTAGTAATTCGAGTGACCAAAATTGATATTAATTTTTTCTAGTGACTGAACATAACACGATTTAGTATTTAGTAATCTCAGTGACCAAATTTTGCATTTACCGAAATAAAAAGTGACTCTAACATTAATACTTCAATTTCAAAAAGACAATAATAAAGCATCTATGATGTTTCATTGAATCGATGCCATGTTATGGATATAATATAATCTACGTGCATTACATACAACATTAGCATCCTGTCGATGCCCTATGATATGCTAAACAATCAAGAAGAACAATTTCTTTTAGTAGGGCAGAGTCCTATTCATTTAATAAGACCTATATATACAGCCACCATAGATAATAACATAAATTATTGTGTTACCAGACACAGGAATGCTTGAAATAAGATCAGATGCTGCTGGCTTTCTGTTCGTTTAGAGTATATGTGAAAATGTGGATGAGCTAGACGACATGGAAACGGACCTTCTGCCTCTACAACTTGAAATGCCTACGTGTTCAAGGTAAAACAAATAATTACAGTGAAAGCTCACATGAATCAAATATAAGAAGAATGACTTGAAGGACTGTGGAGAGGAGTTGGAAAACGTAACCTGTTAGCTCAAATCTGCGGTGGAAAAGCCTAGAATTTGCAGCGGAAAGGAGTGATGAAGATGGTTGCAGGAGTAAGATGGAGACCTACTGACATAGGAACCCTCTCAATACATGGAGGGATAGCTCTGCGTGTGCGGCTCACTATGACCGGACCATTCTGGTAATCGTCCATCTGGCCATTGTATCTCTACACCCTGCAGCTTGTGCAAACCAGAAAGATCAGTCAACTTCGAGCATCCTCGGAGGTCCAACTTCTCCAGCTTCTTCAAGCAAGACAGATCTGGCAAACTCTCCAGTGATGTGCATCCTGTGAAAATCAGCCAATTCAGATTCTTCAAACGAGAAAGATCCGGCAATCTCTCCAGTGACGTGCACCCAGCAAGTGCCAGTCGTTCCAACGACAGCAAATCCTTAAGGCCATCAACATCAAGCAGACCCGACAAGTCAGTCAACACCAGTACTTGTAACTGTTGCAGAGACTCCAGCCCATTTAACTTCACTAATCCCTTCGAATCCATGATTTTCAACTTCTTCAGACTTGGGCACCTTGACAGATGAGGCAAACTTTCCAGTGATATGCAACCATTAACTACCAGTTCTTCCAATGAGCACAACACTAGGCCGTCATCATGATCAAGCCCCTGGAATATCTCCTTGAGACGAGAGCATTTCACAATCTCCACTTTCTGGAGTTGGTTTAGACCAGCTGGATTCATGATGGGCAGCAGTCTCTCCATTGCATTGCAAGATCGAAGGTTTAAGTCGGTCAAAGATGGGAGGTTTTCAAGGCCGTCGAGGTGCATCAAACTTTCTGCTGACAAATACCGCAGCGATTTCAACCCACTCCCGAGGCCCTGAATCGCATGGACCTTGGGGCAATTGGAGACGTAAAGATTGGCCACCTTTGAACACCCAGCTACGCTAAGATTCTGCAGTGATGTGCATCCCATTATGATCAGCTCCTGCAGTTCCTCTAAAGCAGATGCCATTAATCTCTCCAGCGACGTGCATCCCCTGAGCTCTAACCGTAGCAATGATTTCAACTCATCAATGCCCTCAAACTCACGCAGATTCAGCATCTGCTGCAATTCAAGAAATTCAAGTTTCCCAAGCTTTGACAGATTAGGTAATCTATCAACTGATGGCATGCCCCTCAAGTGTAGTCCTTGCAGCTGTTCAAGAGAATCCAGTCCTTCCAGCTTCACCATTCCCTTCAGATCCCAGAGCTTCAACTTTGTAAGACCCGGGAACTTCGATAGATGAGGTAAACCCTCCATCTGCAGCGATTCACATCTATAAACTTCAAGATCTCGTAAAGAGTCCAGTACTACATTTTGGCCATTGTCAGCTTCATCATCAAGGCCTCGGAATATCTCTGTGAGACGAGGGCAGGACATTATCTTTACCTTACTTAGCCTCTTCAGAGCAGCTAGATTGTTGTTACAAGTGATGGGAAGCAGCCTCTCCATAGCATTGCAAGATTCCAATTCCACATCAACCAAAGAAGAGAGGTTTTCAAGGCCATCAAGATGCATTAAACTCTCGGCAGAAGATATGTTCAGAGATTGCAAGGATTTCATCCCTACCCCAAGTCCTTGAATCTCTCGAAGCTTGTGACAGTCGAAGATATACAGCAGTGTCAAATTCCCTAGGTTGTCTAGATTTGGCAGCATCTCCAGCATTGGGAAACTGGAGATACGAAGCTCGGTCAGAGATGGGGGGAACTGGTGAGGACCCATTGTTTTAGTGCTGGACTTATACAGCATCAAAAGTTTCAGCTTGGATAACTTACTCCAGTCGAGCCTCACCTCGGCCAAAGATTGAACTCTTAACATCTCCAAGTCCGTCAGGTCCTCGAGGTTAGCAACTAATGTGAACGAGGCACGCAGCTCTTTCAAACTTTTGGGTAGCTCAAGTCTTGCCTTTAACTCGACTCCCATTGCTGTAAAAATCTTGAGAGACGGCAATTTTGCGATGTCGGCAAGAAATTCCCCCAAGTTATCGCAACTGCACGAGCTGATATACAGCTCCCGAACCCCCTGATGCATTCCAATGCTACTCCCCACTATCCTCCTTATCCTACAACTCTCGAGATTCAAAACCTTCAACTTTATTAACTTGCCAATGTTCAGGTCCTGATTGCTACTTGTTCTTCTCAATCCAGAAAGATTTAAATGCTCAAGGTTCCCATATTCGGAGAGGTCCGGAAGTTTGGTTATGGAGCCGCAATGTGAGAGATCCAGAACTTTCAGCTTTTTTGCCATCTGCACCGCATGAAAAAAAACACGAACAAGCATGTTGAAGGCCAGTACGTGATCAACAGACACTAGAAAAATAAAATTATGCTCTGATTAAGCTAACCTTGATGTGGTACCATCCTCCCCAGTCATCTGATATGACACTTTTCCTGAGATCAAGAATTACCAATTTATTCATCTGAAAATTGGTTATGCCATCACCTGAACCTCGACAGTTTTCAAATTGTAGCCATCTTAGATCCTGAAGGTCTCCAAAATCTCCCGTAAGGTCCACAAAAGTTCCACTTAGATATCTCAGATCAGTCAAATTCTGGAAATGCTCATCAGTAAACTGATGATGAGGATATGATTGTACTTCAAGAGCTTTCACTTTGTTGCTTCCCTGTATTTTTTAAAGGAAGAAGTTTCAGTCATAACCCATGAACCACTGTAATAAAATTCATATCACAAGTTCGCTTAGATGTATATTGCAAACGAATTGTAAACAAGGAGAAATTCCTTTATGAAACCAACCATATGACGTATTAGAGATAAACTTTCTGTTGGTAGCACTGATATTTTCTAATAAAATGCTAGATGGGTTTCTTTGCTGAATGAAATGATTTTGATTAATAAGGAGCGTTGAGGCAATAACCAATTAAAAAGTGAGTGGCTAACCATAACAAAATGTCAGTACAATAAGAGCTGCCAACTGTAAATGGCTATATCCTCCGCTGTAGACATATGACAATTGTCCCATAGTTCCAAAGAGCAGAAAGCCAATACAATTATATGTATAAAGTACTGCAACCTTAATTATGTCGCCAGCAAAATACCTTTTACGAACACAATTCCCTGAGTTAATTTGAAATTTGTAACCTTACTAGTACTTTTCTATATGTTACTAGAGAATAGAGATATAGATTATAGATATACATTACACAGAAACAAATAGCTTATAAATGCAAGTACAAGAATGTAAAGAGTACCTTTTTGCCAAGCAACAGCTCAAAAGCATCCTCTTTGGACCATATTCTACTTCTCATCCAAGGATGTTCTATATCTTCTTCCCGGATAATTGATTTACCCAGGTCTCTAAGTTGATCATGCATCTTAAACGCATTATTCTCTCCGATTTTGATTATGGATCTCTGGACGAGAACATTAATAGTACTGATTGGATATAACTTACAATCACTCCACATATAAGAAGCTATTTCTTTATTTGTTCCAACATAGAAACAAGCAATGTCAAGAAATATCTGTTTTGCCTCGTATTCCAGTGCATCATAGCTTATCTTTAACCTTTCTAAGACCTCTGACTCTGGTGTTTCCTTTAACCGCAACAATGTTTCTACCCAAACTGCTTTATCTTCTTTAAATAGAAGTGATCCTACAACCTTAATAGTCAGTGGAAGTCCTCCTGTTGTGGATACAATGTCTTTAGACAAAGTTGCATAATCACGTGGAGCAGAATCCTTTCTAAATGCATGCTTGCAGAAAAGTTCAAAGGAGTGTTCATAACTCATGGCTCCAACTTCATATAGCCTACATCCTTTGAGTAAAGTCAAAACCTTAATATTTCTAGAAGTAATAATAAACCTACTCCCGGAAGCAAAGTTTTCAGACTTTCCGAAGATGCCATCAAATTTGAACTTGTCATCCACATCATCAAGAACAATTAGAACCTTGTAATGGCTAACTCTATCTCTTATCATATGGATTCCTTCACTAACATTAGATACAAGACTTGCCTTTCCCACAGTGCCAGAGAGTATCTTATTTTGCACAGCAACGATACCATCTCTCTGTTGCAAAGTTTCCCTTACGTCTTCCACAAAGCAGTGGCGATCGAAGTGAGCACAAACTTTATTGTAGACAACAGTTGCGACAGTGGTCTTTCCGATACCACCAAGGCCATGAATGCCAACAGTTGTCACAGCTTTAGAGTTTAAATCTATTCTTTCAACTACTGCGTTTAAGTGTCCATCAATTCCAACCAATTCATCTGTCATTAATTCATAATTGTTACTTAGATGCGACCATATGTTTTCAAAAACTTCATCAGCTATAGCTCCCTGCCTGGCAAATATGATTTTGATATTAAAATCACTACGAGGGATGTAATAAAACAATGAAAAGTGCAAGCTGTCAGCTAAATTTTCCAAACTATAAAGCTATGAAATCAGAAAGCCCCCATATCCTCGGTAGTCGGTGCAACATATTTACTAGGTGGCAGTGGAAGACACTCATATAAACTGGTACAAAGAAAGAGTTCAATACAAATCAAAGGAGAACACCTAGCTTCAAACCTGGTTTTAAGCTCAACATGTTTTCGTATGAAAATTTTAAAGGTTACCATTCAACAATTAAGAAAAGAAGGCAAGTACGTAAGTGCTTACCCGTCCTTGTCCGTTACATGCCACCCTTTCAATTCTCCAACCTCCTTGAGAGCGTTTTTCCAGATCAGTATGGTTTTGTCATCAACATTCTTCTTGTGTCGCTTAAATGCTTCTTCATACGCCCCACTTTGTTTCCGCACGTCTCTAGGGTTTACCTTGTAGAAAATGGGTAAAATGATGTGCCCCTTATCGTGCTTACGGCACTCAACCATTTCAGCAAGCTCTTTGAGACACCATTTACTATGAGCATAATTTTCCGAAAGAATCGGAACATGAATCTTGGATTCCTTCATGGCCTCAACCAAACTAGGCCAGATGTCTTCCCCCACACGACGATCCTCGTCAAGTTTGAATGTGCGGATTTTGGAGCGAACAAGAAAATGGTAGAGGACATCGGTGATGTCAAGGCGGGTGTCTGGACCCCTAAAACTCAAAAAGACCTCGTAGTACCCAGTTGGAAGGGGCACGAAAGCATCAGAACCAGAAGTGGAAGCAGAAGAATCAACAGTGCAAGCAGGTTCTGGTGGTTGGGGGTTATTGTTCGAAGCGTTGGAGGACCTCCACCTTCGGAATAGACACTTGCAGAGGAGAATCAGTATGGGAAGCAGCAAAGCCGCCATTGTCGTCAAAGCTTCCCACAAGTTCATTTCTGCAGAAGGATAGCATAACTCAGAAACGGGAAAATGTAAAATTACTTCCTAGTGACTTCCAACATAGATTCTCACACAAAACTCTGTAACTAAAGCAAACCGAAGAAAAATGCAATCTCATACTCCAATTGTATGGGAGAGACACGCCTGATGTCCTCTCAAATGGGAAGGCTTTTGCCCTGGAGTATGAGAAGAACAACAGTCTAGCTCTAGCTAGAGAAATATATATCAGTATGGTCTATTACTTGGATACAGAGTAAGCTTCAGATTCCTTTACACAGTCGAGGAAAGTATATATTCATTTCCAGAACCGAAAGCAAAACTTCCATATTCCAATACTCAAATGTGTCTGTATAATCAGGAAACAACAATGTCATCACACCAGAGACTGAACTGAAGAAAGAAAAAAATCATAAAGTTTGAGGACCAAATTGTAAAAAAGAATTGGAACATGAGAGGTTGAATGCAAAGCGAAGAAGTTGAGGAATCATATTGAAAGAATCGGAAAGCAAAAATCAAGGAGTCGCCGCTGCAAAGATGAAGTCAGAGGATTCTGAATCCAGAGCACTGGCTGAGCTTCCGTGAAGTCAAGGGTTCAAGAAAATCGAAAGGCAAAAAAAAACAAAAATTGAACAGCAGGAAATGGCAAACGCGAAGCTAGAGGAAGAAGCCGTACTTGAGAATCAAACAGGGCACAGAAAGAGGATTAGGTCGAAGGCCTGGAAGTACGGTATGGAGGTCGAAGTTACCGGCTAAGAGCTGTAGTAGCCGGCATTCTTCGCCAATCACCGGCGATCACGTACACCCGCGAAACTAGGGGAAGGGATCTACTGTTACTGCACATCCGATTCTCTCATTTCGTATTTCGTTGGATGAAAGTGAGACCGTAGAAAGCCAGCGAAGGCTTCCTCAGTTCCTTGTTATTTCTTTTACTTCCACAGGTTACTGGGTAGTGATGGAAATGGATCGGGGCGGGCGGTACCTCAATACCCATGTCCCGTCCCACGCTAGTACGAGTAGGGATGTCAATCCAACCCGTAATCATGGGTACCCTACCCGACCGTAACCGGTCAACGAGGGTAATTACCCGCTTTGACGGGTTAAGGGGCGGGTATGGGTAATACTCGGTTTCAAAATAAAGGGTAGGGTACGGGTATGGTAATCGATAATACCCGCCCCGTTATACCCGCCCCGCTAACCAAAGGGTCATTTCCCTTGAGAAATTTAGTTTAGCTTGAGAAATTGAGTTTAGCTACCATTATTGATGATGAAGATGGAGACGATCATTATGTTTGTGTGGATTGTAGAAGCAAGAACAATTATTATGTGTTTGCTATTTTTATTTGTGTGGATTGTTTAAGTTAGAACAGTTACAAGTATTGAGAATTTTTAATGGACAACAGTATGTATGTGCATATGTGTATAAGTTCATAGTTTAGGATTCGTACCCATGGTTACCCGAATACCCGTGGTTACCCGGTGGGTAGGGTATGGTTATATAATTTTCATCCCCGGTGGTTATTTGGTCGGGTATTTTAGAAGGCTCTACCCGGCGGGTTAGGAGTTGGTATAGGGTAAACCCGCACCCGGCCCTACCCATTGCCATCCCTAAGTACGAGTCATGGCGGGTAAACTCGTGTGGGTACCGGGCGGGTCGACCCACTCGTACATGCTATTTGAGAAAAATATACGCACAATTTTACTTTTTATGATAAAACGAAGGGGGAAGACTTGATGAATGAATAATAGTGATAATATAATAAGTAATTGAGTCTATTTAGTTGAAAAATCAAGTCTAACTAGTTGAATAAAAACCAAAATAGGAGATATATGAATGGATGGGGTAAAAAATTGACCTAGAACGGGCTACGAATGGGGCGGGTCAGGGCGGGTCGGAAGCTGATACCCATGCCTCACCCCACGCTAATGCGAGTCAGGTATTACCCGACGGGGCGGGTTCAAATTGCCATCCCTATTACTGGGTCTGGCTGGCTCATCCCGTAACCCCGGTTAGGGGAAAGTTAATATGCTAACTTGAAGATTCGTTAGTAGATATTAACTGATATACAAAATACATGAACTAATATCCAAGTACTAAAGTATCTAGAGAGCACAGACTAGTATTCAAAGTTTGCTAACTGATATCCACCATGAATCAACTATTATCACAAATTCACAAACTAATATTTAGACAACACAGAATAGTATCCAAACAGCACATCATTAGTATCCAAACAGCACATCATTAGTATCCAGATAACACATAAGAGTAGGGCTGTTAGCGGTGCGGTTTCGGTTTTAACCGAACCGCAACCACGGTTAACCGCAGCCGATGAGTACCCAAAAACAGCAACCGCCACCGACACCGATAGACTTATCCGTTAGCCGAAAACCGCCGTCAACGGTTTCGGGTCGGTGTCGCGGTTAGCTGAAGACCGACGGAAGGGATGGGTTGACGGGATGACGGCGATTTCAGCTTCAGGGACGGCGGTGAGGATGGAACAAGGCGATGCAGGGGACGATGACGGCGACCAAGGATCGGCCTGCTGCGACTGCCGGCGACAGAGGATCGATCAAATCGACCTGCTGCTACTGCCGCTTGGCCTTCGATCTGGAGGATGAAGAAGGACGAGATGACGACGGGATGGCAACGACGACCGGCGATCGATCTTCACCACTGCAGCTACCCCTTCTCCTTCTTGGCCTTCGTTCGCTGGATTTCGATGGCGGACGGAGGGGTTGAGACTTGGAATCGGAGGGAGATTAGGGAAAAAAGAGCGCCGCCACAATTGCCAATTATCTCTCTCCATGTCTCTGTTTCTCTCCCCTCTCACATTGAATGATTGAAGAGTGCCGCCAATAGAGAGTTCTCTCCCCTCTCACCCACCGACGCAACCATCGCCACCATCCCCGCGTCTTCCTCATCGTCGCAGTCGCCATCGTCGATTCGTCGCCATCCCCGAATCATCGTCACCATCGCCTCGTCTTCCCTCTCCATTTCTCTCCCCTTTCACTTGTCTTGTTGTTGCATGTTTCGATATGGGCAAGATCGAGACTGAGGGTGCAGATCGAAGGCGGTCTCAAATCTGATGGTGAGACTGAGAAGAGAGAGGGACCAGATCAGGTGTGATTGAGATGTCGCCGTCGTCATCGTTTAACCGGGTTGCATGTGCGGAGAGACGCTCCTCAAGGGTTGGGTTGAGATGTCGTCGCCTCCGACTGAGTCTTCATCGGCCAGAGGCTGAGGCGGCCGCAGGGAGAGCAGAGCTAACAAGGATTGGAGAAGAGAGAACGAGAAGAAGAGAGTAAGCGGCGCTGTGGCAGAGTGGAGGTGATAGATTCGGGACGGTTACTCGGTGCACCGAGTTTATCTCGGTTTCTCCACCTGCGGTTTCGGTGAATAGAAATCATCAAAACAGAACACCGCAACCGCCACCGAAGGCAAGCTATCGGTTTTCGGTTCGGTTAATAACCGTTCGGTTCGGGTCGGTTTTCGGTTTAGCCGAGAAATCGCCAACCGATTATCACCCCTACATAAGAGTATCCAGATACCATAAGAGTATCCATATTGAATACTAGTTGGTTGATTGTGGATATTAGTTGGTATCTGCTATCTGGATACTAGTTTGTGATGTTTTGAATACTAGTTTGTGCTATCTAGATACCTAGCAGACTTAGATATTAGTTCATACATTTTGGATATTAGTTAGTATATACTAACGAATCTTCAAGTTAACAGGATTAACTAGGCTGCCGGTTAGGTGGGAAGAGGAAAGGTTTTTTTTCATATCTGTAGTGATTTTATATTAATTGGGGTGCATTCTGGTCAATTGGGTCTTTAACTAAAATAATCTATTTGCGGAGGGATCGTTTGGTGTTGGCAATGTTGTCAGGATCGAGCGGGAATATGATCAGGTATAGCAAATGATTCGCACTTTACTGGTTTAGCCGGTATCAATTCGTTAAAAAATTCTTAACGAATCGATACCTTCTAATATCGTATTTCCATGGATTGTTAGGGTGATGTGTTTTTTTATCTAACATTTAAAAAAAGTGTAAGACCAAATGATCAATTTTCTATGGCATTTTTGTAAATTCGTTAGGGTTAATGGGTTAGTGATATCTTAATATTTATTAAAGATATAATGTTGCTACTGTTGCATTAGAGGTAGGTTAAAATTGTGAATGTTGCTCAACTTATGTTTTTCTCATTAATCAAAGCTATTTATAGTACAAGTAATAACCAACATGCCCAATTACATGAGGGATTTTCATCCCAAGTCTTGTTGCGGAGAAGAGCGTCGCGTTCCCGTTGCATAGCAGCATTCCAGTGGGGAATTTTGAGAGCTTGGGCGACAGAGGTGGGCTCGTCGTCGATGATGGCAGCATAGGTTTTGGGTTTGAGATGCCCTGTTTTGCCACGAGTGATAATTGGACTGCGGGTGGGTTGGGTAGAGGGACGAGGGGAGGTGGTGAATCGGGGTCGAGGGGGAATGGGTTTTGGTGGAGGTAATTTGGTGGACGAAGATGGGACGGCGGTGGAAGATGGGGGAGAGGCAGCAGTGGTAGGGGGTCGAGGTTTGGCGGATGAGGGAGGGGATTGAGTGGCGTAGCGTTTGGAGAGAGGGGAATAATGGGAGTGGGTTGCTGGGTAGTGGGCTATTGAGGAGAGGAAGGGGAAATGGCCCGAGACCCAGTAAAAGGGGCCGGTTGGTTGGAGGAGGGTGGGGTGGGGTGGGGAAAATGGGCCTGAGGTAGTATATGGAAAGGGTAGGGATATTGGTGGGCTGGAATTTGATGTAGTAGTGGATATAGACTCCTGTTGGGAAAAAGACGTTGGGTTGGAAAATGGAAAAACAGATTCATCAAATAGTACGTGGCGACTGACATAGAGGCGACCAGTGGAAATGTGAAGGCAACGATATCCTTTGTGAAGTTTGCTGTAACCGAGGAAAATACAAGGAAGAGATCGAGGAGAAAGTTTGTTGGGGGCATACGGGCGTAACCAAGGATAGCAAAGACAACCAAAAACACGTAAATTAGTCATGTCAGGAGGGCGTTTGAAGAGGACAGAGAATGAGGTATCATTGTGTAGGAGTGGTGTAGGGCTCCGATTAATGAGATAGTGGATGTGTCAAATGCCAGTGGCCAATATTTGGGAGGAACATTGGCATGATGGAGCATGGCGAGACCATTGTCAACTATGTGACGGTGTTTCCGTTCAGCACAGCCATTTGTTCAGGAGTATAGGGATAGGAGGAACGATGAGCAATGCCATGAGAAGATAAATAGGTAGTTAAGCCTTGATATTCACCTCCCCAATCGGATTGAAATGTTTTGATAGGGAGGCCGAAATATTTTTCCACAAGTTGGCGGAATTGAATGAAGACACTAAGCAATTGAGACTTATATTGAACAAAATAAATCCATGTGAATTTGCTATAGTGGTCATAAAATAGAATGTAGTACGATTGAGAATCATAGGAAAGTGTAGGTGCGGGACCCCAAACATCACTACACACAAGTTCCAAAGGCGAAGTCGCTTGAAATGAGGAAAAGGTAATTTGTGATTTTTACTAATCGAACAGCCATGACAAAGAGAAGATGGACTAGGAGCAAACTTTATTTGATTGGTGTGAAGCACTTGTTTGACAGCACGTAAATTGGTGTGTCCCAATCGTTGATGCCAAACTTTAAGGGATGCAGTAAAGGAGTGAGGAGCAAGATGACGACCAATCTCTAGTGGAAGGGAGTAGAGACCGTTGATAGCGAAACCGCGATGCAACTCATGGTTGGTGCGACGATCCTTGATGAAAAAGAATTGATCAACTAATTCGATAGAAATTGGGTTAGAACGAGTGAGAGAGCTAATGGATAGAAGATTATATGGGGCATCTTTCACATAAAAAATATTATTGAGAGAAATGGAAT